GTGGTCGCTTTTCTGTTCAGAGAGTTGTTGCTATTCTTTGTTCTCCTGTTGGGTTTGTAGGTGTTCAGAATGGTTTGATCCCTATCCAGCTGAATTCCTGAGACCAGACGAAATCCAGGTCTCCTACTCCTCCGCCATCTTGCTCCGCACCACTTTCTTTTTTTTTATATGGTTTCTTTTTGTTGAACTTCTTGTTTTGCTCATGCATTGTTTTCCTAATTTCATTTAGTTTTCTGTGTATTCTTGTAGTTCACTAAACTTCTTTAAGAGGAATTTAAGGGGATTATTCTGAATTCTATGTCTGGCAGTTCAGATTTTCATTTCTTTAGGGTCAGTTATTGGAGCTGTTACTAGTTTCCTTTGGCAATGTCACCTGTATCTGATTTTTTGTGATCCTTGATTTCTGACATTGGTATATGCACATCTGAAAAGTATTCTCTTCCGGACTTTACAGGTTCTAGACTTTACAGGGGGTTAAGCCCTGCAGTCTCCCCTGCAGTCACCATGGGGCAAGGGTGGAGGCTTTCAGAGAGGGGCCCACAATGCTGGGGGCATTGGATTTCCACCCCGGGCTTTTTTTTCCCCGCTAGAGGAACAGTAGGCTCTTGGTGTGCTGCTGTGCAGGCCTGAGTGGGGGGCAGTGAAGTCAGTGTGTAGCCACGCCTCTTGCTAATTACCTTTCTACTGTGATCTGTCTTGGTCTCTGTGGTGCTTCAACCTCACCTCCATATTCTAGGGTTCTTCCAGTGGTGTCTTGTACATGAATAATTGTTGTTCTTGTGGGAGGGGGGTAGTAAAGTCAGGAATGATTTATGTTGTCATCTTGGTGATGTCATTCCTCTAATATTTTTCATCAAGTCTAACTACTTAGTTTATTTTTGGATTGTCTAACATAGTTTTTAAAAATTTTTATTGTGGTAAAATATACATAACATAAATACACCATTTTTAAGTGTACAATTTTATGTTACTAAGTACATTCAGTCTTGTGCAACCATCACCACTGTTCATTTCCAGAACTTTAATCTTCCCAGACAGAAACTCTTTATTTATTAAAGACTAACTCTCTTTCTCCCCTTCCCACGGCCCTGGATAGACCTTCTGTCTCTATGAATTTGTCTACTCTAGTAGTTCCATATTAGTGGAATCATACACTCATATTTGTCTTTTTTGTGTGTCTAGCTTTTTCACTTAGCATATTGTCTTCACAGTTCATCCATGTTGTTTCATGTGTCAGAATTTCATTCTTAAGGTGGAATAATTCCATTATATGTATATACCACATTTTGTTTATCCATTTAGCCATTGATGGACACTTGGATTGCTTCCATTAACATAGTTTTAAAGGGATCCATTTAAATAGATTTTCAGTGTTCTATTCTGCCCTTGATCAGAGAGCCAGAAATCTCACATTTGATTATTATTTTTGGTAGAAAAAAATGTATTTGCCAACAATTGTTACCTTTTTCCTTTCTCCCTTTTTATTAAAGTAAATTCACTCACTGACTCATTCGTTTATTCATTCATTCATTCATTCATTCATTCAGTAGACTCTGTGTTGACTATATGCCTGGCCCTGTAGGCGATACAGCTGTGGTAGAGTTTATCTTCCCAATACACAGTAAACAATAGATGATAAAACACAGTCACTTCAGATATAAAAAGTACTATGAAGATGGCATCAGGGAATTTTGGTAGAGTATACATGTATGGGGGGAGTATACATGTAGGAGGGGGAGTGTACTTTGGAGTTCCAAGGAGGTGATATTTGAATATAATCCATGTGCAGAATCCTGAAAGATCTCACCAAATAGTCCATATTCCCTTTCAGTTGCACTCTGAAGCCTTTGGGGAAAAAGAATAAATTTCAATTTTCAATAGGCAAAAAGCTGTCTTCAGGGAATACTTAAAAGACACAAGATGAGGGGAAAGCCAGTCAGATATACATTGTTCATAACTATTTGAGGAAAGAGGAAAAAGGAAGAAAGTCTCAGTGTTACTGCTTAAAACATTGCCTGGCACCAAAGGGCATTGTCCAGAGTTCTGAGCACAGGCGACTGTGCAAGCTGAACTGAGGTGGTTTGGAAGCCTGGGCATCACCTGATCCAGAGAACAGTAATCACTTGGAAGCCATGTGTAAGAGAGCAGACAAAGGGGCAGATTTCTGTACAAGGTGATATTGGAATCTCAGTTTCCCAGTCAGTTGGCTGGTGTTGAAATGCTGCTGCAGAGTAGGACAGTGATTGCAGCTTTGATTACAGGATGCTTGCTTGCTTGTTTTTTTTAAATTTTATTTATGAGAGGGTGAGAGAGAGCACAAGCAGGGGGAGCAGCAGGCAGAGGGAGAAGCAGACTCCCCGCTGAGCAGGGAGCCCGATGCAGGGCTTGATCCCAGGACCCTGGGACCATGACCTGAGCCAAAGGCAGATGCTTAACCAGCTGAGCCACTCAGGTGCCCCTCTTTTGTTTTGTTTTGTCTTGTTTTTTGGTTAAAGAATGTTAGTAGTTTTTTTTTTTTTTAAGATTTATTTATTTTAGAGAGACAAAGAGTGCAAGTGGGGGGAGGGGCAGAGGGAGGGGGAGAGAGAGAGAGAGCAAGAGAGAGTCCTTAAGCAGACTCCCTGTTGGGCATGGAGCCTCATGCAGGGTTGGCTCCCAGGACTCTGAGATCATGACCTGAGCTCAAATCAAGAGTTAGATGCTCAATGGACTGAGCCACTCAGGTGCCCCAGGAAGCTTTTCTTAGAAGGGTTTGCTACTCACTTGTAGCTACTATGCAGGGGGCAATGCCTGCCTGTTCCCTGTGGGGTTTTCTCCAGCTACAACCATTGCTTTCATGTTGCTTTTTATTTTCTTTTTGGTTATTTATTTTTCAAAGATTTTATTTACTTGAGAGAGAGCATGGTGGGGGGGGGGGGCAGAGGGAGAAGCAGAGTACCCCCTGAGCATGGAGCCTGATATGGGGCTCAGTCCCAGGACCCTGAGATCATGACCTGAGCCAAAGTGAGCTGCTTAACTGACTGAGCCACACAGGCGCCCCTCAAGTTGCTTTTTAAATGAGCAGAGAAGCTTCCCTCTCCTGGCCTGTTTTCTACCATTTCTTGGAAAGCTTCTTCCTGACATAAGCCAGGAGCTCTTTGTGGAAATGTTTGTCTGAAAGAGTTACAACCATTTGTATATAAGATGGGGTTTAAAAATGTTTGCTTTCCCTAGGAGATCAGGGTATCTGTCCCTGTGTTTTGGCAGGCCCACCACTCCCTCCTACCTGGTGTCCTGGAGGGAGTGTCTGAGAAGGCAGTGGGATGACCTCCTGGTGGGCTAATGTATCCATTTATTCAAGCAACGTATTTGGAGCACTGTGTCTGCCAGGTGCTAGCTGGGATGGCCCTCAGAGGTGAGGAAGATTTGCCTGGAAGATTCCACCTCGGAGATGGTCACAGCTCCAGGTAAGGCCTTGGCTGCAGTAGGATGGAGTGTGGAGGGAAGAAGTGGGAGGAGACACGTCTAAAGTCATTGAATTGAGACAGTAGCCGCTTGGATTGGCAAGGCAGGACTGAGCTTGGCTATAGGAAGGACCCAAACAGATGTGAAGATTTCTCTTTGGGAAAAGACTGGGATGAAGTGCAGAATAAAAACAATCCTCATATAATCCATGGCACTCATCAGATGCCAGGTAATGCTCTAAGAGCTTTATACACCAACTCATTTATTTCACCCTTACAGTATCCTCGGGAGGTTGGCACTTACTATTCCTATTTTATTAATGGAAAAACAAAGCTAAGATCCTGTAACTTGTAAATGGAGATGCTGGGAGTCCCACCCAGGTTGACTGGCTTGGGACCCTGTGCTCTTTAGTTCCTTTGCTTGGGGCTTTGCTGCTCTGTGCCTCCCAAGACAGGGTTTTAGGAGGAGACAGAATTGAGAGAAGAGAAGGAAGAGAAGAACTGAGAAAATATCATCTGATCCGCAATGGGTTACTGGCCATGTGTGATAAGTCAGATCCACTGCCTTCACCCGAAGAACTGTAGACTCGGCATTTACCTGCCTATTTTCTGGGTGGTGCCAGTGAGCTAGGCTTCTTAACTATGAAAAAATAAACCTCATTTGTGTCAGTAAAGGAGCCTTCCTTAGCCATTTCCCTGTGGTACTTAACACCTTGGGACAGGTTCCTCCAAGCTTATTTCCAGCGAGAAGGGCCTGCTGGTTTCACCAGGCCAAGCAGAGGCATGGGGTGTGGGAGATCTATTTTGCCTGTTCTCCAGGAGCCACCTGGGTACAGCGAAGCTGCTGAGGAGAGATGGGGCCACCCTCCCTGCTGTCCCACACAGGCCCCACAGCCCCGGGAAGGACTGGCAGGGGTGACGTGCAGATCCAACCTGTGCCCTGTGCCCTCTTCCATCCCTCCATCGTGTGGGAGTCCCAAGGGACTGCTGCTACGGCAGTGCTCTGGGGAGGGGGTCTGATCACATGGAGACCTTCCCAGATCTTTAGAAAATACTATTGTTATTTTAAATTCCATTCACCACCCCGAGTAAGGAACATGTGCTACCATTCATTCATTCACAAACCTTTCAGAGCACCAATTATATACCAAGAGGCTATGTGAAAACAAGGCATGGCCCCTGCCCTCAAGGTGCTTATAATCTAGTGGGAAAGGTAAAATTTATATAAGGGTGGTGATGTGGTAGAACGTGCTGGGCCCCGTGAGAAGGAAATGGAGAAGATGATACATGGTTGATAAAACAAGACAGGTTTTCTAGAGAAGGTGGCATTTCCTTAGTTGACACCTGAAAGGGCAGGGGGAGATATCTTTTTGATATCCTGTCATTTCCTTTTGATATATACCCAGAAGTGGGATTTCTTATTTTTAATTTTTTGAGGAACCTCCATGCTGTTTTCCATAGTGACTGAAGCAGTTGATGCTCTCATCAACAGAGCATAAGGGTTTTCTTTTCTCCACACCCTTACTAACACTTGTTACCTCTTTTTGATGAAGGTGGGGTGATACCTCATTTTGGTTTTGATTTGCATTTTCCTGATGAGTAGTGATGTTGAGCATCTTTTCATGTACCTGTTTGTCATCCTTACGTCTTCTTTGGGAAGATGTCTATTTAGATCCTCTGCCCATTTTTAAATCAGATGGTTTGTTTTTATACTGTTGAATTGTATGAGTTTTTATGTATTTTGGATATTAACCCCTTATCGGATATGTGGTTTGCAAATATCTTCTCCCATTCGTAGAGTGCCTTTTCATTTTGTTGTTTCTTTTGCTTTTTAGTTTGATATAGGCCCACTTGTTGATTTTTGCTTTTGATGTTTGTGCTTTTGGTGTCATATCCAAAAACTCATTGCCAAGACCAATTTTAAGGAACTTTTTTCCTATTTTTTTATAGAAGTTTTATGGTTTCAGGTCTTATGTTTAAGTCTTTAATCCATTTTGAGTTAATTTTTGTGAATGGTATAAGATAGAAGTACAAGGTCATTCTTCTGCATGTGGTCATCCAGTTTTCCCCATACCATTTATTAAAGAGACCATCTTTTCCCCAGTACGTATTCCTGGCTCCCTTGTCAGTATTAGTTGACTCTATATGCAGGTTTGTTTGTTTGTTTTCCTGGGCTCTCAATTCTGTTCCGTTGGCCTGTGTGCCTGTTATGTTGATTACTATGGCTTTTGTAATATAGGTTGAAATCAGGAAAAGTGATGCGTCCGGGTTTGTTCTTCTTTCTCAGTGTTGCTTTGACTGTTCAAGGTCTTTTGTGGCTCCATATAGACTTTAGGATTGTTTTTTCTATTTCTGTGAAAATGCCATGGGGATTTTGATACAGTTTACACGGAGTCTCTAGATGGCTTTGGGCAGTATGGACATTTTAACAATATCCTTCCCATCCATGAATGCAGGTCACTGTTCCATTTCTTTGTCTTCCTCAATTTCTTGCATCAAAGTCTTACAGTTTTCACCACACAAAACTTTCACCTTCTTCGTTAGATTTATTCCTAAGTATTTTATTGTTTTAGATGCTAGTGTAAATGGGATTATTTTATTTCTTTTTCAGATATTTTGTTGTTAATGTGTAGAAACACAGCTGTTTTGCGTATGTTTATTTTGTATCCTGCAACTTTACTGAATTTGTCAATTAGTTCTGGCAGTGTTTTGGTTGTGTCTTTAGGATTTTCTATATATAAGATCATACCATTCATAAGCAAAGACAGTTTCACTTCTTGTCTTATTTGGATGCCTTTTATTATCTTTTTAACTGATTGCTCTGGCTAGGAGTGTGACAGTAGGTATCTTTCTCTTATTCCTGATCTTAGAGGAAAAGCTTTCGACCTTTTACCATTATGATGTTGGCTGTGGGTTTGTCATATATGGCCTTTGTTGTGTTGATGTGTCTTCCTCCTATACTTAATTTGTTGAGCATTTTTATTATGAAAAGTTGTTGTATTTGTCAAATGCCTTTTCTCCATCTGTTGAGATGATCGTATGATTTTTATCTCATTCTACTACTGTGTCTCACATCCATCCATTGATTTGTGTGTGTTGAACCACCTTGCATTCCAGGGATGAATCCCACTTGATGGTGAATGATTCTTTTAATGTGCTAATGAATTTGGTTTGCTAATATTTTGCTGAGGATTTTTGCATCTATATTAATCAGGTATATTTGTTCGTAATTTTGTCTTGTAGGCTCCTTATCTGGCTTTGGTATCAGGTAATGCTGGCCATGTAAAATTAGTTTGGGAGTGTTTCCTTCTCTTCATTTTTTTGGAATAGTTTGAGAAAGATTGTCATTGACTCTTCTTTAAATATTTGGTAAAATTCACCAGTGAAACCGTCTGGTCTTGTACTTTTCTGTGTTGGGAGGCTTTTGTGTGTGTGTGTGGGTGGGTGTGTGTTGGGAGGTTTTTGATTACGATTCAATCTCCTTTATACTTGTCCACTCAGATTTTCAAGTTCTTCATGTTTCAGTCTTGGAAGGTTGTACATTTCTAGGAATTTATCCATAGCCTATGGATTATCCATTTTGTTGGCATATAATTATTTATAGTCTCTCATGATCCTTTGTATTCCTGTAGTATTAGTTGTAATTTCTCCTCTTTCATTCCTAATTTTATTTGAGTCCTCTGTTTCTGAGTCACTCTAGCTAAATCTTTTTTTTTTTTTTACACAGCTCTTAGTTTCAGTGATCTTTTTAATCATTTTTCTTATCTATTTATCTTTTTTTTATGTTGTTAATCACCATACATTACATCGTTAGTTTTTGATGTAGTGTTCCGTGTTTCATTATTTGCATATAACACCCAGTACTCCATGCAGAACGTGCCCTCTTTAATACCCATCACCAGGCTAACCCATCCTCCCAACCCCCTCCCCTCTAAAACCCCCAGTTTGATTCCTAGAGTCTCTCATGGTTCGTCTCCCCCTCCGATTCCCCCCCTTCATTCTTCCCCTCCTGCTATCTTTTTTTTTTTTAACATATAATGTATTATTTGTTTCAGAGGTACAGATCTGATTCAACAGTCTTGCACAATTCACAGCACTCACCATATCCCATACCCTCTCCAATGTCTATCACCCAGCCACCCCATTTCTCCCACCCCCCACCATTCCAGGAACCTTCAGTTCGTTTCCTGAGATTAAAAATTCCTCATATCAGTGAGGTCATATGATACATGTTTTTCTCTGATTGACTTACTTTGCTCAGCGTAACACTCTCCAGTTCCATCCACATCGTTGCAAATGGCAAGATTTCATTCCTTTTGATGGCTGCATAGTATTCCAGTGTGTGTGTGTGTGTTTCATTTATTTCTGCTTTCATCTTTTTATCTTCTTCCTTTTACTAAATTTGGGCTTAGTTCTTTTTCAAGTGAGGTTGTTTGTATATGTTCTTTCTTGTGCCTTAATGTAGGCATTTATAAATGATTTTCTATAGTGGCATCCTTCGATTCCCTTCCTGAGAAATCTTATGTGTATCTGTTGTAGATTTTTGTTTTTATTAACTGCCCTCTTAGAACTACTTTTGCAGCATCCCATAGTTATTGATATGTTGTGCTTCCATTTTCATTTGTTTCAAGATACTTCCTGATTTTTCTTTTGATTTCTTCTTTGGCAGGAGCATGTTTTTCAGGAGCATGTTTTTTAGTCTCCATATATTTATTTTTCTGGCTTTCCTCCTGTTATTAATTTCTGGTTTCATACCACTATAGTGTGAATATAGTATTCATACCACTATAGTATGAATACTTGGTATTTTTTTCAATCTTTTTAAATTTACTAAGACTTTTTTTTTTATTACCTACATGTGATGTATTCTGGAGAATGTTCTGTGTGCACTGAGAACAATGTGTATTCTGCTGCTGTTGGTTGGCATGTTTGTATATGTCTGTTAGGTCCATTTGATCTAAAGTATAGTTCAAGTGTAGTGCTTTCTTACTGACTTTTCTATCTGGATGATCTATTGTTGATAGGTAGGATATTGAAGTCCCCTTCTATTGTGTTATCTATTTTTTTCCTTCAAATCTGTTAGAATTTGCTTAACATAATTCAGGTGTTCTGTAATTGGGTGCATATATATTGATGATTTTTGTATCTTCTTGATGAACTGACCTCCTTATCACTATGCAGTGACCATCTCTGTTTCTCTTAACCATTTTTGCCTTAAAGCCAATTTTGTCTGATATTAGTATAGCTACCCATGTTCTTTTGGTTTCTATTTGCATGGAGTATCTTTTGCCATTCCTTTGAATTTATGTGTGTCCTTAGAGCTGGGGTGAGTCTCTTGTAGCATATAGTTGGGTATTTTTTTTTTTTTTTAATCCAGCCAGCCAATCTGTCTTTTGATTGGAGAATTCGGTCCATTAACATTTACAATAATTATTGGCAGGTAAGGACTTACTAATGCCTTTTTATTATCTTCTGGCTGTTTATAGTTCCATTTTTCTTTTCCTCTTGTTGCCTTCCTATGTAAATAAATGATTTTCTGGTAGCAGTATACTTTGATTCCCTTCTTCTCATCTTATGTGTACTGTTGTAGATTTTTCTTTTGGAGTTCCCATGATGTTTACATAAAAAATCTTATAGATATCAGGGTGTATTTTATGCTAATAACAATTTAATTTGATTGCATATAAAAAAATCTATCCTCTTCTCTGTTTTACATTTTTGATGACACCATTTACATTGTTTATTGTGTATTCATTAATGAACTGTCAAAGCTATACCTAGGTTTCATACTTTTGCCTTTTAATCTTTTTTTTCTTAAGATTTTATTTATTTGACAGAGACACAGCAAGAGCAGGAACACAAGCAGGGGGAGTGGGCGAGGGAGAAGCAGGCTTCCCCCTGAGGAGGGAGCCCGATGCGGGGCTCGATCCCAGGACCCTGGGATCATGACCCCAGCCGAAGGCAGACGCTTAACGATGGAACCGCCCAGGCGCCCCTTGCCTTTTAATCTTTAGGTGAATCTTTATCTAGCACATCACCATATTAACAGTGTTAAGGTACTCTAAGCCTGACTCTATACTTCTCTTTACCAGTGTGTCCTATATTTCCATATGTTTTGAAGCTACTAGTGAGTATCCTTTTGTTTCAGCTTGAGGAACTCCTTTTAGCATTTTTTTTTAATTTTTAAAAAAATGTATTTTTTTTAAGATTTTATTTGACAGAGAGAGACAGCGAGAGGGGGAACACAAGCAGGGAGAGTGGGAGAGGGAGAAGCAGGCTTCCCACTGAGCAGGGAACCTGATGTGGGGCTCTATCCCAGGACCTTGGGATCATGATCTGAGCTGAAGGCAGACACTTAACGTCTGAGCCACCCTGGTGCCCCCCAAAATTTATTTAACGTGGGCTCATTAAAATATTATTTTATGATATAAATTTATTTTGAGTTGGGCAAGGAGCCCAACACAGGGCTTGAACTCACAACCCTGAGATCAAGACCTAAGCTGAGATCAACAGTCAGACAATTAACCGACTGAGCCATGCAGGCGCCCCCCCCCTTTTAGCATTTCTTGTGTAGTGGCAAAAGTTTAGCAGCTTTTGTTTATTAGGGAAAGATTTTATTATTTCACTTTCATTTCTGAAGGACAGTTTTGCTGGGTGAAGTATTTTGGCTGGCAATGTCTTTCTTTCAGCACTTTGAATTTATCATTCCACTCTCTTTGCTGTAAGATATCTGGTGATAAATCCACTAAGAGCCTTATGGGGGTTCCCTTGGTTGAGAGAACTTTTTTTCTCTTCCAGCTTTTAAAATTCTTTCTTTGGTTTTAGACTATTTCATTATTATGTATCTTGGAGAACATTTTGGGGTGAAATTTTGTGGTGACCAAGCTTTACGAACTTGGATATCCAGTTCTCTTCCCAGTCATGATTTCTTTAAGCTTTTCATTCCTTTCTCCCTCTCTTCTTCTGAGACTCCAGTAATACGTACATTTTCTTTTGATTGTGTCCCATAACTCCTGTAGGCATGTTCCTTTTTATTATTTTTTCTAATTGCTCTAATTGCTTAAATTCAACTGATCTGCCTTCTCACTCACTGCCTCTATCTGTTCAACTCTGCTGTTGAAACTATTGAATTCTTCAGTTCATTGTATTCTTCAGCTCCAAAATTTGGTTCTTTTCTCTTTCTTGAGCTTCTCATTTTGTTCTTGTATTGTGTTCCTCATACTGTTGAATCATTTTTGTGTTCTCTTGTAGCTTTGAGCATCTGTATTACAATTATTTTGAATTCTTTGTTGGGCAATATTTGCATCTCTATTTCTTTGGGTCCAGTTAGTGGACTCTTCCTTTGGTAGAGACATTTCCCTCACCTCTTCCAGACTTCCAGACATTATGGATGGATTTTGGTTAGAGAAGCCTTTCACTTACAGATAGGGGTGCAGTGAATCATGTTGTGGCCCAGGTCTAGTGGTGCAGGGCAACAAACGCTGGGGTGCGTGGTAGCAGTAGGTCCAGTTGGGGCAGGATGGCTCTTTGGCTCAAGCCACCGGGGTCCATGCTCTTGGTAACAGCATATCCCTTTGTCATCATCGCAGGGGTCTGCAGTGCCTGTGAGGGCTCCTGGGCTTCTCAGCCATGCCTCGAGAACCAGTAAGTAGCTAGGGACCAGGGCAGGCAGCATTGGTGGCTGGGGCCAATGGTGTGCACACACTCGGCTGTGAAGGGCCGGCTGTAGGTCTCTTTGCAGACGAAGTCATAGCGATGGGTGTCAGGGAAGGTGGCAAGGACTAGGGCCAACTATGGGCTCCCTGGCAGTGGCAGAGGACGCGAGTGTCAGCATGCTGCCCCTGGGCAAGCGTACTGCAGTGGAGGTCAGTGACAGGGGTCAGGTTGCAGAAAAGGTGGAGGAGGGCATGAAGGTCCTCGGCCGGAGGGACCAGTTCTAGCTGCAGGCGGGCCCAGTGGTGCTGGCCAGTAACACGAGGCAGGGCTGCCCCGTGGCTGTACCAGGGGGCACACACAGCGGCAGAGCTGCTTACAGGTGGGCGTGGTGATGCCGGCCACGACGGGGGGGGGGGGGGCCTTAGTTGTCCTGTAACAGGGTCGGTTTCCTGATAGTGTTCAAAGTAAAGTTTAAAAAAAGCTTAAAAAGGGGAGTTGGGGGTGGGGGGAGTATACAGTGAAATCAATTAGTACAACTGTGATTTTGATTTTCTTCCCCAGCTGCCTTCAGCTGCTTTGGTCCAGAGCGATGCTGGCAGATGAGGTCAGAAAGTGACTGAAGTCTAGGACACGTTCTCTAAAGCTGGGTGAGCTGCTTGTCAGTTTGGGTCGCCTGGGAAGCAGACGCAGATGGAGCTGGGAGCGCAAAAGATGTCTCGCAGGAGGGAAGGGGCGTACCCCAGCTGTGTGCAGTCACTGGCGGGGGGCTGGCTGAGAAGAGCTTGTCCTCAGCTCACACCCTGGGACAGCTGGGGACCAGGGCTCACCTCTCACACGCTGAGCTCAGCACGCTCTGCGGCGTGACGACACTAGCCTGCTGGCTCCGGCTCCCTCTCTGGACCCCCCTCACTCTTTGTGGAGGACGGGGAGACACGCCCGTTTCCGCAGTTCTACGACCAGGTGGTGCTCTGGCCCCTGCCGAGCGACTGGTCGGGCAGAGGAGAGCAGCCTGGAGGCTCCAGCTGGCGGAGGGCTCCAACTGAAAACTCCTCTCCGTGGCTGGTGCCAGTCAGGCCCAGAATGAGCTTAAAAGCAGGCTAAAGCCTAGAGGAAGGCACCCGAGGGAGCGAACCAGGAAATGGCAATGAATTGATTTTAAGTAGCTGCAGCTGGGATTAGGCTATTTTTAGCCACAGGACTCAACCAGCTTTCAAAACCTGCTAATAAGAGCCTCACTGTAGCCAGCGAGTAAAACCAGCACAAAAATTTAGCTTTTAATTTAACTGACAGCAAGAAACAGCTCAGTTAGGAGCTGGCTTAAAAGGCAAATCCAAGGAAGAGAACACTTTCCACTGCCAAGTTTAAGATAAGTTTTCACACTTGTCACTTTTGAAAATAATTCACTTAGTAAATCTGTCTTCTGCTGCCGCTCGCTCGGTATTGTGTGTGCATTTTGGGTAGACAGAACTTGCGTTCATTAGATTCTGTTTAACAGTAACCAACCCCCCCCCCCGCCCCCCGCAAGTATATCCTGCAAGCAGTCGTCAGTAGAGCCTGAAGCGGCTTACCTGATCCGATCCGATCCGATCCGCACTGACTGCAGAACAGCCCGGCTGGCCGATGCTAGGCCCTGGAGGGCCTGCTGCTTCCTGCAGGGACCCGGGCGGCCCAGGAGGGCAGTTCTCAGGAGCAGCTATGGGTGAGGCTGGCGAGACGCCGCCACTGTTTCCTTGACTAAGCCTCAAAGTAAGTAAAGGGGATCTGCAGGTGGAAAAGGTCTTTGTGAGGGGAAAGGACAGGAGAGGCATGGGGGGGGAGGGGGGCAAGGGGGCGACTGGCGGCAAACATGACAGAGTCTGGAGTACACAGGAAAAGCCAGTCCGTCTTTACTGTAGTGAGTGCAGGATACAAATAGTTTACAACAACCTCTAGCATTTTCTTAACCATTTGATAAAAAGTTCACTATAATATTTATTGTATAATGAAGAAAAAACAACACATTCAGGGAAAAATTGAGATTAACTTATTTTTCTTAAAAGGTTCATCTCAAGGATGGCAACAAAGTCCAGCTTGTGCCGCCAAACGGTTTTACATGATCAAACCGTGTACAGCTTCTTGTGTGAACTGTTGACTACAAACATTTACCAAATACATAAATCTCTTTTTAAAAAAGCCATTTTAAATATAGCAAAGCAGTGTCTTCTTGCACAGCAAAGTGAAGAAAGTTTCTACAGAGAAATAAAAGTTTTACATTTGTAAAATCTTTTTCACATTCTAATCATCTAGCTTCTTATGATCCAATGCCAGGAGTTTTCTGGTTCCTTATTTACTATGTATTTCTTGTGCGCATGATGGTTAATACAGAAAAGAGGTTAATGCTTTGTTAGTTGTCCTTATAGTTAAAGGAAATGGTAAAACATATGTTGTTCTTTCAGAACAAACCCCTGATTTAGTCTCTAACACAATGGACATAATTAGGGCTCAAAAGATGGAGTTTCGATCGGGACCATCTGCAGACATACAATGGTGACTCTCACTCTCAATGTAGGACTGGTTAGCGCACTGAGGGCAGGACAGCTGTGGGAAACCGTACTTGACCCAGTGCAGCGTCCTCTAAGCTTTTTTTGTTTTTGTCTTTTAGTAATAAAATACTTCATCTGAAGGATAAAATTTTCTTGTGATGGTGTCATACAAAACACACGAGTCTAAAACGGTAAGAAAAGTCAGTTCTAAAGAAACACCATTCGTGTCTTCCCCGCTCTGAGTTGGTTTCCACCAGGAGATGTGCATGTGTATGTGTTTGTACATGGAGTCTGGGTGAGGGGTGTCTGTCAAGTCCATACGCTCCAGGTCACACTGGGCAGACAGGAAAAGGGTTAACAGTCAAATATTCACTTCCTGAAAACGGAATACATTGTCACTTGGTCAGCGTAATTGAAATACAAACTCCGAGCCTCGTGTAATAGTATTTTAGAAAACAGTAGTTGTACTGATTATAAACCTGCATAGAAAGAAAGACTATTGAGATACAGTCAGAAAAGCCATCTCATAAGGCACACAAGAAAATAGACAGTAAATGCGAATGTGGTAACTCCTATTCCAATGTACAGCAGAAGTTCATGAACGTGCATGAATAGTAACGAAAGAATCACTTAACACTTTCAAAGCTATAAATGGTTTACAAAGTGGTAAGGATTATCTTGGAAATTCAGTGTTGGGAGACCGTCTTGTTTCCATCAGGTGTGACCTTATGAAGAAACGTGCCTGTATGCGGTTCAGTAAAGTAAGTACATTTTAAAGAGAAACTAATCCTTTCTGAATAAGAGCCCAACGGCCATCCTGACGAGAGGAGACAGCACGTCACCCTCCCTTTTTTTTGGCTTCTATTGAAATTTACTACCCAAACTGTTCCTAAAACCGAATCCATTTTGTAGCTGTGAACACCACAGGTTTCCCCTGTACCTAATACCCATGTGTCAGTCAGGAAATCTGGCTGATGATTTGTCACAAATAGCATATGAGGAAAATGTCAGAAGGAAGGCAATTTAGGGGGAAAAGCAAAATGTAAGTAAAAAATTGTAGGTAGCTGCTCAACATTAAGTTTAAAATACAAAATAGCAGCAATGTTTAAACCCTTACTTTGAGTTTCTCAGGAAAGGGAGTATTTAAAAATCTATGAGGAAAGATATACAGGACTTTGAATTTTGTTTGTGGCACAAGCCCAGGAAACGGACGAACCTGCCATCACGGCTTCACTGTCTTCCTGTAGGAGGAAGGCCTCATTTTCAAAGGCTAAGCTGAGTGCGGCCCGGGTTTCGTGAGGACGGTGAGCCATGCCGGCTAGCGAAGGGCCCGGGAGAGAGCTTCTCCCCCCACCGAAGTGCCACTGCCATGCACAGAGAGTGGCGAAGGGTAGTATCTTGTGACCAGCTGCATCGTTCTATTTCAGAGGGGCCAGGAAAAAAAGATCCCTTCCCCGACAAATATTTTTCCCTAATCATTTACCACTTATAAAACCTTTGTGCTCATCTACTATTTTGCCATGTTCTCTAATATTAAATTAGGCCAGCTTTTTCTACTATATTTCTTTTCCTCACAAAAGGCAAGTTTTAAGTAATGCCTTATAAAATCTGTTACAACACATTTTATATTTATGCAAGATGAACTTAACACCAGTTTTTTTTTGCCACTTTGCTATTTATGTACACATATAAAATATATAATGATGCTCAACCCATACAGCACAAAGATTACAATGTAACATCATCACACATTCACCACCAGTGAGGGGAGAAACCCCTTTATACAATCCTCTGAAAAGACTGGGCTAATAATTAAAATCCAAAGTACAGTATATTTAACAAAATAGTAAATATTAAACAGTGAATACTCTACTTAATAAGGATCTCGCCTTTTCCCCCCAAATTGGCGGCAATCCACAAAAATATACTTTTTAATCTGGTGACCATACAATACATAGGTACTTACATCAAAGGTGATCATATATTTAAGATGCTATATACACAAAAGAGTTTGGCTCAACTTTTAATTTACATATAGAATAATAAGTGTTCATGGCTTTTTTTTTCCAAGGTTCTGCTTGCAAGGTATTTTTGTTTGTTTTTTTTTTCCCCTCTTAAAATAAAACTAAAAAGTTAAAACAAGATAAAGCTATTCTCTTAAAAAAAAAAGTTACAACATACAGCTTTGGCTTATATAAATAATTCATAGCAGAATGTGTTCAAAAGTAGTGAATATAATTTTATATATAGTCATCAATTCATAAGGGTGTTTTCTTTCATATAAAATATACATGAGCTAAAATCAGTTTCTTTAAGATATGAATGTAAAAAGAAACTTCTGACATAGTCCAATTATAACTTAATATATTAATTTATTTTGTTAATGCTCTATATTTCTAGGCTAGTATTTTCTGAATATCTCATGCGTGTTTTCTACTCTCTCTCTTTTTTATTAGCTAAAGATCACTTCTTTGACCCAATACATTTTTGCACGTGCAAAACAGTTATGTGTGGGGCTTTTTTGTTTTGTTTTTTGTTTTTTTTTTTTTTAAATATCAACAGCCCTTCCCATGCACCCCTCTGCAACAGAGACCCATGCCAGGCTGGGTAATTAATATAAAGGACATTTTATGTACAGTATTGCTTTCTTGGTTCCTGCTTTTCTACTGCTCTGTTCTACAAAGCATTTTTCTTAAGTAACTACAGTCACTGCACAGTTAAATAAAACAAATAGGGGCCCTCTAGGTTTCTGCAAGCTAGTGTGGGAGAATTATATATGGGTACACGTTTCTCTGCAAAAACTGGTTATCTTATGAAACAAGTAGTCCAAGGAAGTGCCAGACTAGACTCTGCCTACAGGGCGCTTTGTTTGCCATGGGACGCACATCTGCAGATCTACGAGGCAGGTAAGTGCCCAATTCTGTATGCAACACACACCCACACACACACACACACTCACGCCCACATACATATATATATAAAGGGATATATATGTATGTATGTATGTATAAATATAGTTAACTCATGTCCTTATTTACCGATGTAGATATGTAGGGCAGTTCGCTGCGCATCACGAAGTACGAACACCAGCCCGGGAGCCTTAGGTCACCCACGCGTCCATCCTCATTCGCTTGACGGAAGGGCTTTCTCTGTCCTCCGTGGTGGGGGGCCGGCCAAGCACGATTGGAGAATGGAAGTCGCCCCGTGGGTCCTCCCGGTCACTACCATCATAGGAACTGCTCGAGCTGCTCAGACTGTCCACGGGGGAGCGCCCCATTTCCTGCCGGGGCTGGGGGGGCTGGGGGGGCGGCGGCTGCGGCGGCTGCGGCTGGAAGCCTGACGGGGTCATTCGATCCCGGGGAGGTGAAATTGGTTCTGACTTAATGTTGATGTTCTGGTTGGTATTAATGGATAAATTCGAACCCTGAGATAACTGCCCTCCAGCACTGAAGGAAAGAAAAGATGTTAGACGGTGGGTGAGCGCACCTGCATAACCGGAATGGTACTGCAGCCACCGCCCGACTGGAAGCCCGTCAGAATTCCCCAGGACTGCCTTTAATGCGCTCTCCGTGGAAGGAAAAAAATGCCCAGGACGGTGGAGAGCTTTGGGGTCTAGTACCCCTGGCCACGGCCTGGGTCCTTCTGCAGGGAAAGGAGCCGAAACTGTGCGTCTGCGGCTGCGCGGGGAGCAGAATGGGAGGGAAGGACTACGGGCCCTGCGCGCAGCTTCCTCTCTGCTCTGGCCCTGGGACGGGCGCAGCTCATCTGTGCGCATGGCAACGCGAAGGCCGCCACCGACCCTATTTTCCAGGGGGAGGAAACCGCCTCGGAAGGCCAACTTGCTCAGAGCAGCAGTGTGTACAGGCTTCTCCCCCAGTCTGCGCGCCAAGCCCTTTCCGCTTGCCGTGTGTTCATTTAGGACGAACAGACCCCCTGAGGGCCAACGGGCCAAGAAAATCAAAGAAGGAAACTCTCCTTGGCTTTCTCCGTGGACAGGAGGGGAGGAACAACAGGGGTGGGGTATCTTGTGTGTGAATCCGGCTACTGGGGTTCATGTGGTTGATCCCAGCCCGCTGCACACACCGAACCTCACCAAGAAGAGTTCAACAAAGAGAACATTCCTTATGGGCAGGGTGAGGGCACAGGAGGGAGACGAGCTTACGGTGGTGCCCAGGGGGTATCCGAGAGCGCTAGCAGGAGGGAGAACCAGGATGACGGGACAGGTGGGGGAGAGCATCTCAGAAGAGGGGACACAACAGCAGACCCAGTTAGCTTCCATGAGTGTTGGCTATTTTCCTATTCCCTTTGTGCACGGATAACCACCAAAGCAAAAAAAAAAAAAGTGTGTGGAGGGTGGTGGTGGGCCTGAATACCTTTAAGCTGCCTTTCTTCCAACACTGGGATCAGATGTAGACGTGGGGAAGGAGGGGTGGGACTGGGTGGCTTAATGGTTGGCTGGTAGGTAGAAGGGAGGTGCAGGTGGGAGACGTCTGTGCCTCAGTACCCCTTGGTTACTATTTTGAGTCTCTCTACCTCCACAGTAGAGAAGCCTTGCTCCCCAGATCTCTTCAGGGAATGCCTAGTTTGATCAGTATCCAAGCTATTATCTAGAATCACATAAAGGAAATATTTTCTCCAAACACTTGTACCACGTAAAAAAGAGATCATTCTAGGACAGTCACATGACAGTAAACGCACAAAAGACTGTAACCGACAGAAAAATAAAGCGCACGGGCTGGGAGGAGAGACTCGGGGACAATCTCTAGGTACTCACACCAGAGAGCTGAGGGCTGCTTGTCCTAAATGGTGCTGCTGCCAGGCCGACACCTGTCCCAGAGACAGCATGCCCGGGGAGTTGAAGCCCTGCAGGGCCGACAGGTCTGCGCTAGTCAGTGAGTAATCTAGGACAAGGGAAGAAGTATTACTCGTGTGTGGGCGAGAAGGCCCAAGCAAATCCGTTTTTCACAGAGTAGCTCCAAAAGTTCCCCGGTTGAGAGAAGCCAGGTACTTCCTAACATAAAAGACACAGGTCTAAACCGACAATAGTTTTTCTTTTGGGAGGTTTACAGGTCCTAGCTGCATTTGCTTGTGTGGGATTATCTCAGTAAAGTCAGTCTCAACTCTGTACTACATGTTTACAGTTTCCTAGCTCACAAAAAGTTGAGATCCTTTTTCCAGACTTGTAAATAGAAATAATGACAGGGCCATCGCTAAGGGACGTGCGTATGCAGCTGTCGCCTTACACATGCCCATCGCTCCCCGCCCCCGGGAAAAAGGAGCGACAGATGGGACAGAGCCTCGATCAGCAGCTCTTCTCTTCTTGAAGTACCGGGGAGCAGGAAGGACAGAGCACCCCTTCTCGTGCGGGGCCAAGCTCAGGGGCCTGGAGAAAACGTTAGCACACGACTGATGAACGGCGGTCGTTCACAGTACGGGGCTGTCGAAGATCCCGGACTGCGTGCAACACAACTTCATGAACAAACTTACGTGTGACAAGAGTATAATAGAGAAAATAGCTCATTTTCTCTGAATGCCTCAGTCATAATCACTTTGGCCGAGACTCAGGACAGTAGGTATCATTCACACATCGAGCTAGTTCAGTTCTTCATTAACACTTCTCTTTTCCATACAGTTTTAAAGAGAGGTGGCAAAAACTCTTCTACTTTTTACTGCTTTCTCATGTCTCAAGAGAGGTATTTAAAGAAGCTGGTCTTCCTAGTGAATTAACACTAATAGAAAAGGGACTGAGTGGCAAGGACATAGCTGGTGCTTAGGACTCTGCCTGCCTCTACACTCTGCTCATGCCACGATCTCCGACCGCCTCATCCACTCCCCGAGGCGGCGGCACAGGAGGTCCCGCACACTGGTGCCTTCCACAGTGCCCCCTGCGGCCCCCAACTCTCTACCTCTAGGTCCTCCCAACTACCTACTTGGTATGCCCATTTGGATGTCTCTCCAAACACCTCAAATCTGCCACCCGAACTGGCCGCCTCGTCCCCTCCAAACCTGCTCCTTATCTTAATAAACGGCACCGATATTCACCTGGTTGCCCGTGCCAGAAACCTGCGAGTGTTCTTGATCCTTCTCTCCTACCTCCACCACCACCCACCAAGGCCGGTCTGATCTCTGTGTTCTCTCAAACCTGCCCGTTTCACCAGCTCTCCTGCCACCGCTCTCGTCTAAGCCATCAGGATCCACTACTTGGGCCACCATGCTACCCTCCCGTGTGGTCTCCTGGCATGCAGTTTTGCCCCTATGAACGCTAGCCAAAGTGATCTTAAAGTTAACAAATATGCTCCAGGTACCTCTCTGCCTCAAACTTTCTGGCTTCCCAGTGCTCCCAATATCCAAAATCTTCAACATGGCCTATAAATTGTTACTCACCTCTATAGTTTCAACTCTACACACCCTGCTACCTACCCCCATCCCTCCAGCCAGGCTCCGCTCTGCTAGCCTTTGTACACAGTGCTCCCTCTCCCTGGAACATTCTTCCTGCTCTGCCCGGCTGAATCATGTGTGCCCCTTTAGTGAAGCTTCAAGTAGCTCTTCACATGACTATAATAAATGATTCCTAGAGCCGTCAGTCCTGTGTCTTTCTCCACTGGCAACCATACACTCTTGTGTGCCCGGCCCAGTACCTGCCACATAGCAAGTGCTCAATAAATATGTGTTGAATGGATGCGCGAGCAGGTCTGTGAAGCTGGGCGTGACCTTACTGATGGGCATGAGGAAGTATCTGGGATTCCTCCACATAAAAACTGTTGGACTTTCTGAAATGTCGCTCATCTCTTCATCCCTTTCCTGACCATTTGGTGTGAATTTGACTCTATGTACAGAAAGGCAGATGACATTCTACAGAAAGATGAAAACGGACATGTGTTTAAAAAGGGCAACTAAATACAGTAAAAATAATAGTGTTTAAAATTAAGCCAAATACATGCTCCGGAAAAGAGCACAGAGACCAAGTCAGTTAAAAGAAGGAATGAGACTGAGGCCAAGGGATTGATAGTTTTGAGAGAATCGGACTCTGTTTTTATGTTTTGGTAATTCCTTCTGGACTTTTAAAAAAACAAGTTCTTGCTAATCCAACAGCATGTCTAAAAGCATGCACAGTGGAATGTCTACGTATACTGGAAAACCTGTCATGAAGTGCTCAGGAAACTGCCCTCGCTTCGAACCAGTTCAAGCCCCATCTCTGCCGCCCGTGCTCCTCTGAACCTTTCAGCTTGTACGTGTCCCTCTTTCCTCACGTTCTCAAGAGTGCAAACTGCTAAGCTCCACTGCTCAGGACTTCACCTCCAGAGCTGCCACCTCAGGTACATCCTGTCTCCCTAGCTGGCATGAATCTGGGACAAAAGCTCCATCCCTGGCATACTGTCACTCATACAGCTGATGATCACTGCAAGGACACAGAATTTCTATGGATGTGTTACCTCTTGCTTTACTCTAGATTTGCACTTAATAGATTTGGACATTTTTTCATACTGATTGTTAGAAAAGGTAGTGGACATTTTCCTAAGAGGCTTTCTTTTTTCAACAAAACCTTTTAAAATTCGGTTTTAAATGAACTACATGGAATTAAAGTGACAATCAAATGTATCAATGGCCTCAGGGAGCTTCAGACAGCAGTTTGAAAGCACCGTGCTAAAGCATTTACTCTGAAGTCTAAAATTAGATGATTTTTATTATAGTCTACTTAGAAGAATCATGAAAGGATGAATGCCCTGCACTGCAGTCTGAATAACTGACAAGGTATCATTTAACTATTTCCTTCTTTCCTTCTTCCTTTGAAGCATCAGGTGTTTGGCTCAACGGGTGAGAAAGCGAAACCACATGCGCCGGCCTTCGGCCTCTCCTCAGAACGGCTGATCTGGAAGAAACCTGCTGCACGTTGGGCCTCTGCAGACAGCCTGCGTGGCTAAGAGCGCCCCTCCGATCACTCAGCAGTGCTAACTTTGCCTACCAAACCCCCGAAACAGGGTATTTTAAAATGAAATGTCTAAATAAACATAAATGAGTGAGAAGCTCCTCTCAGAAGGAGGAGTGACCGGCTCTGAGGAGAAACAAGAAAGGTCCCGGTTTGGCTCCTAAGGCACAAAGGACAGAAACAAAACCAGGCGGCTACACAGAGGAAAACACAACCTGCCCGGCGCAGCGACACATCTGCCACATTTCGGAGGCCTGAGTCCCAGGGGATTCCGTCTTCCCCCCAGTGGGTTAACACAGCGTGAGAAAACGGTCTCCCTTCACCAGCCTGGAGGAGTGGCATACTGTGTAATGAGACACGACAGAGAAAATGCCAAGCAGCAGTCTCTCCTCCTCCCTGGTTTGACGCACAGGCCGTAATTCTGGGAACAGCTACCTGTTTCTTCGTCAAGGGTAAGTAAAAGTTGACACTGGGAAATCATTCTACAATCGATGTATTTTTTTGTACATTTTTCAAAGCTAACTTTTGTTTTTTAATACACTCAAATGTGAACCTAAAGAACTGGAAATAATTTATTTCAATCAATATACTTTTTAAAAAATCACAGAAGCACATGCTGATCACAAAACAAAGACCTAAAATCCACAGAAGGCAAGAGAGCAGGCTCACCAGTGTTGTAGGCGGTCGGCATGGCTGAGTACACGAGTCCCTGTGGAGGCAAGCTCGGGGTGGTCACAGACACGACCGGGGTAGCTAGAGGCTGAGTAGCTTGAGAACTGCTTATCCTCTGAGTATTCTGTGAGAGAGAGAAAAAAGTGTCATTATTTGAGTATTTATATTCAAGCCTAGTATTTTAAAAATAACATTCAGTTTAAAAGTGACATTTTTTCACAGTTTTATGATGTGAATGTCATTATTTCTTAAAGCAGTCATGATGTGAAAAAAACCTTAAAAATACTAATGGGAACAACTAAATATTTAATTTCAAGGGACATAGTTGTACATTAATTATTCATTTTCCCTTGTCTTTCATAGTGTTTATTGATGGCAAGGATATATCCTTAAAACAGAAACTTGCATTATGGGCGAGAATGCTTTGATGTGTCACCATAAATGAGGACTTGCAGGCACTGCAAACACCACACCAGGCTGCCCCAAATCAAACACCTAGGTTTTCGAGACTTGAGGAGAGCCAAAAGTCATTTGTATACTGAGAGTGTAAGTCCATGAGTTTAGGGATCAAAACTACTTGTATTTGCAGCATTCACATGTTAACGTGGTGTTAAGTCTTGGCATCCTGAAGTACAGCTTGCTTTCAGTTTTCCTTCCCTGTGATCCTGCAGTTGCTACACACACACACACACACACACGCACACACACACGTGCGCACCCCACCCCCCCGCAAGTGCCCCGCCCCCAAACATGCTCAGCCTCCCCCACGGTCACCACCACCCACCCAGTGACCTATTTCTTGGCAGCAGGTTCAGATATGCTTCCCTCTGCACAGGCTCCCGACTCTTCTGAAACGAGAGGCTTTGCGTAGAGAGCCTGTGACTGACGTACTTTTCGTAGGACTGTGAATGGAGCAATATTAAATGCTTGCTGACCGACTCCATCTACACAGTATCCTATCCACACTGGCAATGAATTTAAAAAAACCAACTACTGAATAATCAAGTCAGCTTGAGATGGCCACTCCCCTACGTGTCGGGAGATGACGGCACCTTCTCACCACAGGGGCTTCAGGGAACGCTCCAAAACCAAGTTCAGAGGGAGAGAACGGACTCCATGATCCATGGGGTCAGCACCCAAGAAGGCCAAAGCACAACTACTCCAGGGTTATACATGTATGTATGTATGTGTGTGTGTGTATTTAATGAAGAAGTTACAGCCTGATAATGACATTTGGGGGTCTAAGCCGTATCAGTGAAAGTACATTCAGTGTCCTTGAGGTTATGAAGAGACAGAGTGTGATTCAATTTTCCCTCTCACCACTTCCAAAGGGTAATCAGATGAGGGCCTTTGGCTGGATTTAGATACTTGAATGTTAATCATCTCAGTTTATTTCATTAGTTTGTATTTTCCACCCAATCTTAAGTTTCTGTTCTAATTAAGAAAGACCATTCAGGAGGTGGTTACAGCACCTGTGTTTCTGTCCCAAATTCACTACTTCCTAAGCAGGCGGGAAATCATTTCACCTTTCTGAACCTCTGTTTGTACAGTAGGGAAGACAGTGATCTTTGTGCTGCCGGCCTGTGCACCACTGTGAAGCTCTAGCGAGCCAAGAGGTGGGAAGTGCTTTGGTAACTCAAGTACTACACAAATATAACATAGTATCCTTAAATGATCTTCCCAAGAAACCCTCTGGCCCAAGATTTCTACATAACTGGTGGGACAAATTTCTATATAACTTCGGAGCCACAGGTATGACCCCTGGAGCAACCCTGGAGTAGAGGTGCTTTAGAACAGCAAGGCTTCTTAAGGAATGTCAGCAGTCTGCCTCTCACCAGAAGAGTCTTTAGTGGAGGCTCCAAGACACCTGTTTTTCCTCACTTCGGGTCAGAGCCATCCAGGATTATATTTGAGATTTCAAACCAATCTGAACAACTTTCTAAATGCTAACAATCATTGGGATCATATTTTGGTTCTGACCACAAAGCTCTGCATTTAAAACTGATTAAGTTTTAGAGTCTGAATCAGCTTAAGTTTTAAAGAATATGAACTGTTTACGGTTTTTGGTTATGTCTTTGTTTCTTAATTACAAATATTTTTGATTTCTTCATTTTGTAGTTTTCAAAGATTTAGAGAAATTTATCTCTGAGACTCTATCTGGGGGGTGAACTTTAAGTGGGTGGAAGTCAGTGTACGGTAAGTGGGAATACCCTTTCATCTCAGCATCAAGTTAATAATTTTAATGAATTTTTGAGGTAGAGATACACTTTGGACTTAATCTAAGATTTGATCACTGGAAACTCAAGAGTCAGACAGTAGGCAAAAGAACACAGCATGACCCAGTTTGGCCTGGCTCTATCCATGGCAGGACTTCATTTCCAAGGCAATCTCCTGGCATGGCCTCATGTGTGTAATAGTGAATGCCACTGTATCGGTTCCATGCATCAAAGCTCCTAATCTCAATGGCATTGATTTTTCTGAGTAAGAGACTTGTGGGACCACTAGAGGGCAACATACTGCTACAGAATTGAAAGGAAGCATTTGTGACAACTTCCTAAGGGTAAATAGTCAAATTATTTTATCTTGAATTATAAACTTCCATTTTCTAATTATTACCGTATCACTAAGTAAAGTATCTCCCCAGAAGAAGGTCTAAATCTGCACATGATATAATCCAATACCACAACTGATGGCAGACTAGTATATTTTAGTTTACTAAATACAAAACCACATCTAAAACTGTGAGTGATCACAAAGTTAAAGGATGATCTCTTATTTTAAGGACAGAGCACAGACAACCTTATCTAAAAAGACATAAACGGTGCAAAACACACCAGCATGCATATATATGTAATAACAAAATATAAATAAAACAGATGCCTTCCCCCCATGCTCTCATGCAATCTGAACCCTTGTCCATGCTACAAACTAAACATTTTCAAGTTTTTCCCCCTTAAAGTCACTAATTAGCAACTGACTTTGAATTTATATGATCATTTCTGTGAATTCTGGGTTTTAGTCCCCAAAGAAGAGAGAGTTATTTTTAGTTAAATTTATTTTCTAGAAGAAAAGCCAATAGAAATCATTTAAGACAAAGGGTAATAGCTACTTTTAACAACAGAGTATGTCCTGATAGAAAAAAGTAAATTTGTGTATATTAAATTACAGATATTCCTTTTAGCAAACAGGGAACCCCCCCTTATGGTTCAGATCGTCTCATGCAGTATGAAATAATTTCAACTCTGAAAAAGGTGACCTCACCAAAAATGATGTAATCTTTTTGAAAGAAAGAGAAATAACACAAGACCATGTGTTACAATCTGAGGAACTTTGAGGGTGAAGTCATTTTCTAAAAATATGTTAATAATTTGGGGAACTATATAAGGTATTTTGTATCTTTTCTTAAAAAAAAAGCTGTAACAAGTGTCTTGTGATCATTGACAGCTATTGTTTTTAAAGGCTCTGTTCCAATGTTCCCTCCAACAAAATGGGTCAAGATATATAATTATAAAATAGAAAAACGAGATGGACTCTGCAGTACCAGTAGATTGGTTCAGTTATTAAAAGTGCTCGGATAGTGTTTAAGAACAGCAAGAAAAACTGTGTAACAAAGGGAACACTGGTTAGATAAAAACATTTAAGAGAATTAGTACTTTCTAGATCTTTTGCAACTCCCTTCAAGCAGAAACACACACTCACCAACTCCAATTCCTCTTCCTCCGACTGCACTCAGCACATGAGAGGGATACGAGAGTTACTAAGACTGTTGATACTCAAAAATAAAATATTTCTTTAGAAAAACATGTTATTTGGACACTAGCAGTTGCCTGGAACTCTAAAGAAATGATTAAATATATGCAATGAATACAAATATAAATTATTTATTGTCTCTCCACTGGGAACGGATTTCAGAAGAAAGATTGTTTTAGTCAGGCCAGGCTTTAAAGCTGTCCCTGCTCCCCGGCTTAGTCTGTTCCTGAGTCAGCCTCACCCGCCCATGGCCAGGCGATTGCAACTATTTAGTTTAAAAGGAGTTCCTAATCATGATCCCAGTTTATACTTGAAACCTTGAGAATACTTCATCCTCCCATCCCTAGCCCACCTGGTTACACATGTCCATTATTAAATATCTTCTAGATGTGTGCTCTTTGGTTGGCAGGAATTATTTTGTTTTCTGATTTCCCACCGCAGCTAGCACAGTGTTATGAAACAACAAGAACTCAAACATTTGTTAGTAACAGTTTTGAATAACAAAGATTGAGATGCAAATACAGCTTTCATATGTATAATTTCACTGCAGAAAACAATAACACGTATGAAGCAAATGAGACGGAAGAAAAATGAACTGATAAATCATGTCCAGAAAAGAAATGAAGGACACATATTTGCTCCTTTTCTCTAAGCATTTAGAAAATACTAATAGGCTAGAAATAATCGACTAAATAGTGTTTTATTTTACTTGAAGAAGTCAAGCTTTTCTGTCAATCTATGGAAGGTGTCTCTATAAACATCATTGATAGAGGAAACCCCAATCTGAAAGCCAGTTTACCTGCAAACAAACTGTAAAATAGGCAGGCTGGTTATCTACTCTGAAAAACAATCACCTGGCCTACAATTGCTATTTCAAATGTGGGTAAAATGCTCTTCAGCTGTTGAGTTATACAGATCTTCACATTCCTCCAACTACAAGATATGCATGGAAATACTGCGGGTAAGTGCTGTATGGTTTTCACTTGAACCTGCAGGGACAAGGGTGTAAAATAGTTTATATGGCAAATTC